GGCTCGCAGTAATATATTGACGGAAATAAAGAGCAGTGATGAGAAAGAAACAATCGATGAGTTCGACGAGTACTGGAAATCAAAGAATGGGGAAGAAGTACTCGAAGAAGCAGAAAAGCAGTTACGGTTATTAGAGAAGCGACTGGTAGAACTTAGATGCCAGAGCGCCTCAGTCCAGCAGGAAATGAGTCAACAGCCACACCATGTGGGCCAGATAACCCTACCACAGGTAGTGGCAAACCCTTTGAGTGAGAGCCCGCCACACGTAACATCGGAAATACCCATAGTAAATCCCAATTCAGCAAGCCTTGAAACACGTAATACATTGGACAACTTATGGCGTGCACTAGATAGACGCCTACTAGGTAATGAATTGAAAATTCCGGAATTCAGTGGGAAGGCTTCCGATTTTGATTCATTTTGGGAATTGTTTGAGGAATTAGTTGACAAGCAACCTTACTCGAATATTGAGAAGTTTCCAATATTGATTAACTGCTGCACAGGAGATGCGGCAAGAACGATCCAAATGATCCCAAGGACAGGCGACTCCTATGGTAAAGCAGTTGAGCAGTTGAAAAAACAATACAAAGATCACAAAGAGTTACTATGGAAATGATCGGAAAACTGAAAACCATGAGGAAATCTAGGGACGACCCCAGGTCACTAAGAAACACTTTGAATGACGTTCAGGCCGGTATAGCACCTTATCGGACGTCGGGAGAAAATAAGGGGTAGATACTACCCACATGATTGGTCTCGTAACAGAAACCTTCTCCCGTAAAGTTCAGAAAGAGGTTGCAAGGAAAGAATTTGATTCTGAAAGACAATGGAATATGGATGAATTATTAGAAAACTTGTCCATAATAATCAAACGTCAAGAATTCCTGGAAAATCGTAAGGAAATCTCTAGAGCTGAAGAGGCATCAACCTTTCATACTCGAACAAGTAACAATTATTCGATGTGTAGGCTGCAACCAAAACCACAAATTCCTGGAATGTCAGAAGTACGTAACCCCTCAGCAAAAAAATAGACCGTATGAAATCACTAAACTTGTGCTGGAAGGCATATCAGTGGGAACCATCGAACAAGAGCTTGCGCGCAGAACCCCTGCCCACGGTGTGGTAGACATCACCACCCAGTTCTGTGCCAATTTGAAGATAAAAGAGTAATAGGGGACCGAGCTCCTTTCCTCAACGGATACCATTTAGAGCCTTGGACTATCGCTCTCCCACTCGAGACTACGGTGCAAGGCATTTTTCGCGACGCCAGCACTATAAATCTGGAGGACATCTCGGACATACAACGGTAGCCGTTCTAGCTCTCCTCGTTACTTCAATAAAGAGGAACGACATAAAAAAGGTATGTCATCTTATCAGTCACCTCCACCAAAATTAAGAACAGTATATAAGCGGGGTCAGATTCTCTCGCTCACCAACACCGACTCGTAATTTTGTCTCAACGGTTTCTTGGTACAAGACTGAAATTGATTCTTTCTGTTTTTCTAGCTTGCCATGCAATTCTTGCACCATTATGGTTTTTGTTGCCAAAAACTGTAGTATTTCCTTAAGGGTTACAGGGAACTGCCATGGAGCTTGATAATCCAAGGCTTCGATGATAAGGCCGTTAAGGTTGTTAAGCTGTCTTGTCAACTTTTGCTTAACCCCTTTCAGGCTGGATGCTGGGTTCGCTGACGACATACTTCGACGCTTGGCGCGCAGCGAATGACAGATGGAGGCTCGAAGGATGTCGGTATATATGTGTCTATGTTCAACATCGTCTCGCAGATAAACATTTTTTGATCTTCGCGAGCATTTTCTTGTTATGTAAAAACATTTCCTCACATGTTGTGGGAGGCGAGCCGTGGTGACTCAGTCTGGTATTCAGTGAATGTTTTGAAACCCTTATCACTGGGTTTTATCTTTTTCCACTTTGCTATGCAACTTTGTCTTGTCATGTCATAGGAAATTCCGATAGACTGCCACTCTAGGGGAATTTCCTTGTGTTTCCGGAGATCAAGCGAGAAATTGTGCCTGTTCTAGATGATCTTTTGTTTTGTGGCCACATACTCGTTGAGGCACTAATTTCCGGGTTTTCTTCGAGTTTTCCTTCTCTAGGTAGGTCTCACGGACCACCGGCCGGGTTCTCAGTCCGGAGTTTTCCTTCTCCATTGCAGCGCTTCTGTTAATTAGGTACCTTTTTCACGTGAGTGTAAGTTCAGAGGGGATTTTACGTGGATCCACGAGCGAAAATGAGAGATGGAGGTGAAAAGAATTACAAAGGAAGGATGACGAGAAATAGAAGGGGGAGCTCATGCAAACGCGAACGACTGAACGAGCGAATGTGAGATGTAATTTGTTTAAATGCCGGCTTAAAGACTTACCTTCACCTTGTCGTGTCTGCAGTTCGCGATTGGTCCTCGCCGAAGTCCCTCGCAGAGTCATGGTGCTGTTCCACCAGTGTAGAATGAATTTGCATTGTGGTTTTACCATTTCGTTTCAAAGTTACGCTTTCTTGATTTCTAGCAGTGCAATCATTCTTATTTTCGCTTTTCAGTGATATTCGGATAAGCGTTGGCGGATAGCACTCTTATGCATTTAGAGACGTGAAACATGAAAAGCGTTTTTTTTCCCACTTACCGGATGCATTTTTTGCTGAGATTTACAATGTACAGCATCCAAATTTTCTTCCCAACTTTGGCCGATGCACCATTTTGAGACTGCATCACGGTCTCAATGGAAATTTGGTGGTTCATCCTTCTGCTAGAACACTGTCCCAATGCATTTTATTATTAACAGTCACACCAACACCTTTGAGGATGTCATCTTCAACACACAGGAAATTCTGTTTATGGAGAACGACATGTGATTCTACGAACTTAAGAGACGACCTCATCTTACCATTCCATTCCCGTTCTACTTTCCTTTCCTCTCTTTCCCTAGATTACCTTCCCTCATATTTCTAGTGGGTCCGCCGAACTGGTAGGAGACTGAAGTAACGGCAAGGCTTCTTCATTGGGCTCTCTCCAGGCCTGGGCTGGATGTA